CAGGAGAGCACTGGGGACTGCACCCTGTGCTGAAATACAGAACATGGCAGTCGGAGTCTGGCACACAGCTGAGCACCCTGCATGTCTCCATGCATCAGGTGCATCCCAGCTTTCAAGGCATCCATTGTCACTCTTTCCTACAGCAGGTTTTCTGGAGCATTGACCAAACTGGTGTCCCACAGCCCCACACCCACACCAGCACCAACAGCCGAGGCTCCTTACAAAGAACTGTCCCCTCACAGGTGGCTGATAGACCCCGTCGAACCCACACGTCCTGTTGGCCCCACAGGTGAAGTTGAAGAGCTTCAGGATGGCGGTGCGGCACGCCGCCGGGTTCCCCGTCCCTGTTACTGTGAGGATCTGTGCAGGGCTGAGCGTGCTTGGAATGGGGACACAGGGACTGTCGTAGAGCTCTGCTACGGTGATGTTCTCCTGGTATCCCTTGGGGTAGCAGGGGTGTGATATCTGCTGGGCGTACTGGCTGTCCTGTTGAGAGAGAGGGAGCTGTTGGCATCACACTGGCATTGGGGCTGAGGATGGAAAGGTGAGAAGCAGCCCACAGACACTGCCTGTTCAAACAACCAGGCACAGGATGCAGACACCCTGCCGTCACCCTGGCTCCACTGCTCATGGGGTGACATCTGCACCGGCACAACACCACGCTATGGGGTGCGGGCACAGTGTTGTAGGGACAGCCAGGCCGTGCCATGCTGCAGTAAGCAATCAGCTACAGCAAAAGCTGTGTGCCCAGGGCACTGGGCGTTAGTCCTCTGTGGTGGGCATGCATACATTTTGTCCCCACTCTTTCATCATAGTGTCATCAGAGCCAGGGGCGCAGCCAAAACTGAGAAACCACTTTATCAAAAATGAAGTGGAGGCTGATTTCTTTCTGCTAATCACAGAATCACACAGAATCACAGAATCACCCGGGTTGGAAGGGACCTCAAGGATCATGTAGTTCCAACCCCCCTGCCTAGCAGGGCCACCAAACATACACATTCAGATCAGGTTGCCCAGGACCCTGTCCAACCTGGCCTTGAACACGTCCAAGGACGGGGCATCCACAACCTCCCTGGGCAGCCCGTTCCAGGGCCTAACCACTCTCCTTGTAAAGAACTTCCCCCTAACATCCAACCTAGACCTTCCCTCCCACAACTTGGATCCATTTCCCCTAGTCCTGCTATTGTCAGCCCTTTGGAAGAGTTTACTCCCCTCCTGGGTGTAGGTTCCCTTCACGTATTGATAGGCTGCAATGAGGTCACCCCGCAGCCTTCTCTTCTCCAGGCTGAACAAGCCCAACTCCTTCAGCCTGTCCTCATAGGGGAGGTGCTCCAGCCCCCTGATCATCTTAGTTATCTGCTTATCATGCTTAGTCATCTGCTAACATGCAATGGACATCACCTTTTGCCTATTCTTGCTCCAACCACCATGAGGCACTGAGCCCTCAACCCACAGCCGTGTTACAGATATTAAGGCTTCCCCAAGCAGCAATGAACCTTCCTCCACTCCCCAGCACCTGCCTCTGAAGACCAGCCTATTCAGATTCCTCCCCTTAAACCTACATTATTCCCAGCTTCCCGGCACCCAGGATGTTCTCTCCTCCAGGAAACTCAGGTCCTTCCAGCCTCTGTGAGTGAGTCTGTGCTGACACAGACCCTCTACTGGGACAGGGATGTCTCTGCCCTAGTATTGGGACATGCCTGTGTGGGTCCCTGTTGAGGTATCCACCCTCAGTGGTGCTTGCACAACAGCACCAAGCCCAATGGTTGTGATACCCAGTGTGTGTTGCCTGCCCAGCTCAGTGAGAACACGGCTTTGGCTGCAGCAGAGGAGCACAAGGCTGGAGGCAATTACCTGGTGTAAAGATGCCAAGAGCCTCTTCAGGACTTCCTTTTGTCCGTAGCAGAGGTAGCTGTGGGTGTAAACTGAATAGTTGGTCCCATACAGTCTGAGGAGGGCACTTGTGTTCTTGTCATCTGTTGTGGTCCCAGGGAGAAACGTGATCTGGGTTGAAGCCCCACCAAGGTCCAGAGCTCCGACAACATTCTCCACTGGTGGGTGGGTCCATTTGCCTGTGAAGGAGTACTGCCCCACACAGAGAATTACTCACAGGGTGCATGGACCTGATTCAGAGTGAGCACAGGGATACTGGCTTCCCTGACTGAACTGTGGTGCAGCAGGGAGGAGAGACCCACAATCCACAGACTCTGGAACTCCTCCAGACACTGTAGGGGCTGATAGGCCTCCAGGTTTCCCGGTTTCACCATGGAGCAGTGAGTGACTCCCAAGGGGTCCCAGCCTCAATGCCCAGTAGCCTGCAGAGGCTCTAATGCAGCAAGATCTCCCAGTGCAGCGAGATCCTCCTGCTCGTTTGCCCTCTTACCACCCCGCACCTTGATGAGTGTCTCCAGCAGGTAGTTGACAGTGATCCAGCCAAAGGCACCCTCCTCATTCCCAGAGAGGATCTGAGCTCCACGGAAGTCCACAGGATACTCACAAATGGCCTTGGCGACCTCCTCAAAGACCTGCTTAGCTTTTGTGATGTTCTGCTCCCTGCCAAGAGAAGGAGGGAGATGCTGGTGGAGGGAGCACGGTGCTGGCAGCAGATGTGATATGGAACCACAAAGTCAGTGGTTCCCCATCCCAGAAGGCTCGACATCAGGCATCAGAGACACCAGCCAGGATGGCAAAGTGCCACTTCACCTCACAATGTAATCTCACCAGCATCCCAGACCCACTGCAGCTGTGATTGGAGAGCAGTCTGTGAGGGCTCAGGGCCGTGGGGGTGCAGGGATGCAGGCAGTGCCCGTACCTCAGCAGCCGCATCCCCGCTGTGGCTCCAAGGTAGGTGGGTGTCTCCTGCTGCTGCTCTGCAGGGATGATCGTCATGGCCTTGTCCAGGCAGGGCTTCAGGCTGGCTCCAGCCTCAGCGGGGTTATCTGCATAGCTGGAAATGCCAGATCCTGCAACAGAACACCTTGTGATGGCGCCAGCCCAGGAGGAACAGAAGAGTGGGGACACCTCCTCCCACTGTCACGTCAAGGGTTGTTTCTCATCCTCTTAAGCAATACCCAGAAGCCACAATCACAGCCCAAAATGCTGTGCTTGGGGCTATGCAAATATATGGAAAAAGATAATTGTTAACTCAAAGTGGAGATAGGAACTGAAAGCAAAAATAGCCAGCAGAGACACATTTAGATCTAGTGAGTTCTGCAAAGCTTCTAGCAGGCCCTGTGGGAAGAAGTGTAAAGAGATGTTCTAGGAAGCGGCTGCAGAGGAGAGGTTACAAGCATTGCACATCTAACAGCCAAGGTGCAAGGCGATGCACAGCAGTGGGCTGCACAACAGGGCTGGGTCCATGAGCCGTGATGCTAACTGCGGGCTGAGCTTCTGACCGACCTCTGGGCAGCACAGCCCCCACCATTACAGGGACCATTAAACCGCAGCCGCTCCTCTGCACCAGCTCCATCGGGCTCTTCCGGGCCGCCTCCGTTTGGCCAGCCCAGGCTGAGGGGCTCAGATCCCCCACTGCGCTGCAGGAGCCGGGGGCAGCGACGAGGGGAGGAGGGACGCTTCCCAGCGCTCCGCTCTCACCATTCACAATGCAGGACTCCACCTGGGAGACGATGCCCGTGCCGTTCTCCTTGTCTGCGGGCCACTGGTAGATGTAGAGAGCCGTATGCGTGGAGCCGGCGTCGAACACCAGGCCGTACTGCAGAGAGAGGCCGATGGTTGCGGCGCGCGGAGCCCGGCCGTCCCGCAGCTCCTTCCGAGCCCGAGCGGGTCTGCCCAGCACCGGGACCGCGGGCTGCGGGCTGCCCGGCCGCGCACTGGGAAGGGCGGGCGGTCTTCCCGGCCCCGGACACCTACTTTTTTCCCGTCTACGGGACGGTCCCGGGACGCGCTCAGCAATAAGAGGAGGACGGCGGCCGCCAGCATGGACAGCCCGGCCAACACCGGCAGCGCGAGCACCGGGCGCTCGGGCCGCATGTCGGAGCTCCGCACGGCCGGCACGGCGCGGCGCCTCGGGCGGAACCCGCGGGGCAAAGCGAAAAAGAAAGCCGGCCCGGCTACCACGTCCGGGTACCGCCCAGCCCGGCCCGGGGCGGGCGCTCAGCGCGGCCCTGAGAGGGGACGGACATGCGGGACGGAGCGGCGCTGCGAGCCGCGGATCGGCAGTGGGGACAGCGGGACCGGGCGGGTGGGTGCAGAGCCCCCGTCGTGGGATAGAGGGACCCTCCAGTCCGGGAACGGAAATGTGGCTGTAGGGACGGACGGGGACCTCACCGAGAGGAGAGAGGGACGCTGGCTGTGGGAGCCAGCCCAAATCTGTGGGGACAGCCGTGTGGCTGGGAGGGACCCCAACCGTGGGATGGAGCCCTAACCGTGGGATGGAGCCCCCTGGGGACAGATGGCGTCCTGGCTGTGGTGGCAGCTCCCTGGCGCTGGGGATGTGTTTCCGTGAGGACGGGTCCCCACCTGCCAGGTCTCTCCTATTCCTGCCCTGGGCAGCTCTGCCAGCCTGGCCCTGCTTGCAGCAGCAGAATAGCAGAGCAGAGGGTGGCAGCTGGGGTGCAGGTGACAGGCTCGGCCATGCCTTGCCCTGCAGCAGCTATGGGACTGGGAGATCTGTGGACTACAGCTCCTCTCCCAGATCTCAGTCCCGATGCCAACGCGCTCACCAGCTCCCTCGAGGCGTGGATACCGTCAGCATCAAGGAGAGCGCTGCCAGGCACCTCCAAACAGCCCCCAAGGGCGAGGATCCCAGGGCACAGCCTGTCCACCAGCACCGAGGTGGTTAAACGGGCTCTATTCCAGCCCCGGCCCTGCTGCTTGCAGGGGAGGTTGCTGGTTTGAGGCCAAGGGGAGGGCCGTGCAGGGGACTCCTGGGCAGCCTTTGTCCCAGGCTCAGCGCCCGCACTCCAGGTACACGCTGACACCGAGGTGAGCAGCAGCTGGCCCCACTGGCAGCAGCACAGGTGAGCATGGACAGGGGATGGCAATGGGCGACCTCGGCGAGGCTTGGCTGTGGGGAGATTGATGCAGGGGTGAGATGGGAGGCAGGTGAGAGGGTGCCGTGGTTCGTGGCTCAGGTGCCTTCAGTGCATGCAGGGGACGTGGAGGGCACTGCTGGACCTCGTGTTGGTGGCAGGGTGGGAGGTTGGGCGCTGCTCTGCCTGGCAAGGGGACTCCTAGCTTGCACATCCCCCCTTCCTTGTAACATTAAGAGCCTTTTTGACCCCAAATCCCACATGTGCACAGCAACACATCTTCCAAAGCAGCACACAGTTTATGGCCAGCAGTGCCCATGAGTCTGAACTTTGAGGCTCCCCTCCTTCCTCTCAAGAGGCTCTGCAAGGGGCTGTCAGCAGCTGTCAGCACTTTGCTGTGTCTGGTCACATACCAACCGGTGCAGGAGCAGCTCAAGCAGCATGCACAGCTGCAAGCTTTCTGCACACTGAAACATCTGGGCATTGCTCCTTGTGGAGCCATACAGCAGCATGGCTTGACTGCAGCTTGGAAGGCATCACCACCCTTCTATCCCTTCCGCTTGTGCCCCAAACCTGCTGTACAAGGGCGCTGTGCCAGACACAGTAGCACAAAACAGCCTGAAGTGCCACAGAAATTCCAGGCAGACCCATCAGCTTCTCACACCCCTCCCTCTTTGTTTTCTGCTTGCTTGCTCCTTCCCCATGCTCCACTCTCCTCCCCTGTCCCTGCAGACTCAGTGCTGCCTGCAGTTGTTGCCTGCTGCTGAGATAAGATAGAAATTTGGCCTTACCGAGGGCAGGTGAAGGTGGTTTGACATGGTGCAATTTATCACCGTCGCACACTGCCTGGGGCAGAATTTTCCAAGATGTGTGCTGCTATTGGGACCTTTTCCTTTGCTGTTAAACCAGGAGCAAGGGAAGCACTTCTCAGCTGCATGGTTACATCTGTGCAAGCCAGCAGGGCTAATAGGTCTGGAGATGGCTCAATAGAGTTCATCACCTTGCATATGATATCTTCTGCCCTTCATTACCGTACGGGGCAGGGCTCTTGGCCATAGGATAAGGTCTGATAAAGGTTTCCTATCCCACGTCCCTTGTCCCATGACGTGGAACAGAAAAGAACGTTATCCATTATACATAGCATGTCCTATAGGGCACTGGTCACCCTCATTTATCACTGGAGATATCGACTGAAACAGGAATCGCCGTCTTTTGTGACTTTGCCAAAGGTCTTCCTTTCCTATTAAATTGCTGACCTGGACTGGCTACAAGGTAAGGGTATTTTCTATGCGTTCCTGGGAGAACTGCACAGCCCAGTGAGCTCCCCACGGTGCACCCCATGGCAGTGGCTGGGTTAGAATCATTTCTTTAGGCTGTTTCCAGGGCTTTCAGGGCATCTGCTGCTCAGCTGCAGCCCAGTGCTGTGCAGGCTGGGCTGTACGAGGTCAGGCTTACTGCCTGCAGTCACACGATGGTAGTACAGCGCAGGGTGATGCAGGAACAGAAGGGAGAACTTTGTGTAGAAAAGCACATCTGGAGCAGACATGGGGTGCTGAGCATGAGGACGTGTCAGCTGCTCTGTGCTGTGGGACTGTAGAGAACCAGGCCCTTGGGTTTCACTTCTCCATTGCAATTTATTGGTGATGCCTCAGGGATGATGATGCTGGGAGCTGAGCTCTGACCAGGTGAGCAGAGCTGGACCAGGCAGGAGACACATGGATGGAGATGCTGTTCCACTGCCTGGAGAAAGACCGAGGATAGTCTGATACTGTTGGGCAACAGATGTTTTAATTCCCTATTACTGGAGGTTTTCAAGATGGGATTGGTTAGATAGTCTCATTTAGGCTTGCCATGAGAAGCTGGACTTGATTGTATCTTGAGGTCCTTTCAACCTGTACTGTCCCATGATTCTGTAATTCTATGTGACCTGCTGGTCACAAGTCTGTGGGATGGATTGTGTGAGGTAGTGCAGGGTATAATGGCAGAATGTGGGTGCCAGGGGGATGCAGCTCTGCACTCCAAAGATATCAACCCAGTGGGAACCTGCCAGGACATGGCCCTGCTCTGGGTGTCCCTGCTTTAGCAGGGGTTGGACCAGGTGGACCCAAGGGTCTCTTCCAACCTCAGCCATACTGGAATTCTGTGACTGTGATTCCAAGAATGGTTTAAAGCCCTTTTTTCAGACATGGGGGAAGGTCCATCTTGACAGGTCCCACCCCATCCACGAGATTTGCATTTCAAATCTGGCCTTGCAAATACAGGAGCGCTAAGCTGGGCTTGGGGTGTTTTTGCAGGTTGGAAGAGGAATGGAGTACAAAGCCCAGGTCGTTGCAGGTCTCCTGGCAGCCACCTGTGTCTTCAGCATCGTTGCCCTCATACTGAGTGCTGTAAATGTGAAGGATGTGTTGCTGCCTCCTGGCACTAAGGTAAAGCCTTTGGCAGAAGCCCATCTACCTTCTCTCACTCGGGTGTTGTCTAACCTCTATTCTGAGATTTTCCCCAGCCTTAGGCAGGCTGTGCTGTTATTCACCAAGATGGGGACAAACTGCCGTGCAGGGTGGCACGTCAAATGGGTTTGTCACAGTTTTCTTGCTTACGGCACATACAGCCTTTTCACTGCAGAGAACCAAGGGAACTTCCCCACTAGCTCACAAAGAGCCTTGGCCTCAGTACAGCTGGCGACTGCGGTGTCACGCTTTCCCTGCTCCGGTGACACTCTTGGCTTGGTCACGTGGGCCACTCCCTGCCCACTGGCAGCTCTGCCTGCTCACCTGGAGCTCTGCAGCCAGCTAAATCTGCTTTGCACCTCCTGAAACCCTGCATCCCGTCGGCCTCTCTCTGCAGTACAGCCTGGTGTTCGACGCCGGCTCCACGCACACGGCTCTCTACGTCTACCAGTGGCCTGCAGACAAGGAGAACGGCACGGGCATCGTCTCCCAGGTGGAGTCCTGCACTGTGAATGGTGAGAGTCCTGGGACGTGTCTGTCCCTCTCCCCGCCCTCTGCTCAGCCTAGGGACACCAGGCTGGAGGCTGTTCTGGGCAGTCGGTTAAAAGGGACTGACAAAGGCCACTGACCTAGGGCAGAGTGCCTGGGCAAGGGGTGGGAGATTGTAGAGCCTGCCCTGATGGCAAATCAAGGCTCTGCAGCCACAGTGTGTCAGTTACTGGTTAACTGTGCTCCAAAGCAAAGGTCTGGTGAAGGGCGAAGGGTAAATGAAAGGGCACTGGGGCTGGTGGAGGACCTGGAGTGCAGAGCTTGGAGGAAAGGTAAATAGTGATATTGGCTGCCTCCACCCAGTGCAGGACCACGCTGGGAGCTCAGATCTAGCACTAGCCTATAAAAATAAGAGCGTGTTTGTGCTGAGCTGCATGGAGAGCACCTCTGTGCTTATATCAGCTCCACATGTCCTCTCCAAAGGACAAATGAGAGAATCCCCCTTTGCCAGGGAAGTAAGGAACCGTGCTAACCATGCTATTTGTCAACTGACTGCTGGGAAACTGGGATTAACCACACACTCAGCATCACAGCAGCTCCCCACTCCTTGGAGAGCAGGAGTCTCTGTCTGCTCCTGCAGCATGCATGTGCCACCTCCAGGCAAGCCAGCTCTGAGCAGTGCCCTTCTGGAGATGCCCTTGGAAGGGCATGATTGGTCTTGGTACATGGGGAAAACCTGTGGGGTCTTCGTGGCTTTCAGGGTGGATGTGTCTCCTGTTATCCTATTCTGCTCCTCCTGGGCATCACAAGGTGCTCTGTTACAGGATCTGGCATCTCCAGCTATGCAGATGATCCCACTGGAGCTGGTGCCAGTCTGAAGCCCTGCCTGGACAAGGCCATGGCAGTCATCCCTGCAGAGCAGCAGTGGCAGACACCCACCTACCTGGGGGCCACAGCGGGGATGAGGCTGCTGAGGTACGGGCCCTGCTGCCCCCCCACATTTCAACATCTTAGAAGGGATGTGGGGTTGGGATTGGGGGCAGATCATCAGATCATCATCAGATGGCTGAGCATCCATTTCTGCAGCCCGCTGGGGGTTGGCCAACATAGCCAGCTCACTGCTCCATGGGATACCCCACAGCCTACACTGGTGCCTGCCTGGCAGTACCCTGGAGGAGGAACAACCTCCTTTGCTAGATTTGAATTCATAGAATGTCTTGGGTTGGAAGGAACCTTAAAGCCTATCCATTTCCAACCCCCTGCCATAGGCACAGATACCTCTCACTGGATCAGGCTGCCCAGGGACTCATCCAGCCTGATCATGAACACTTCCAGGGATGGGGCATCCACAGTTCTGGGCATCCTGACAGTGCCTCCCCACCCTAATTGTGAAAAATTTCCTTTTATCCAATCTAAATCTCTCCTCTTTCAGTTTAAAACCATTGTCCCTTATCCTGTCATTACAGGTTCTAGTAAAACATCTTTCTCCATCTTTTTTTATAATCTCTTTGTATGATTAAAAGCAATGGATGAATGGGGTATATGCTGTCACTGTATAGTCCCACTCCTTTGCAGGTCACAGCCTTTTACTGTTAGCCTGCTCTGAAAGCTCCCCTGCAATTGCATCTTCCACCACATGGGATTTGTCTGCTTCTGCAGGGAGCAGAACAGCACAAAGGCTGAGCAGGTCTTCGCTGAGGTCACCAAGGCCATTCGTGAGTACCCTGTGGACTTCCGTGGAGCTCAGATCCTCACCGGGAACGAGGAGGGCTCCTTTGGCTGGATCACTGTCAACTACCTGCTGGACACACTTATCAAGGTCCGGGCCAGAGGAGAGGGCACGGGGGGGTTGGGGGGATGCACTGTGTGTGTGTCTTCCTGTCTGTGTAAAGACCAGATTTCTTTATTCCCACAGGGGAGTGAAATGTCTTTTTAGAGTGATGGTCATCCAAACAAATGTAGCATGTTGTTGTGAACTGCACCTTTTACTCTACAGGTGTGATTAGGAGAGTCGAGAGCAGGAGGATCTTTGTGTCCAGCTCATCCTGGCCCTGTGCCTTCCATTGATATATGGGTTGATTTTGGTGTCACAGCAGTATCAGAGTCCAGAACATTACACTTTTCCTCCTCAAATTCCCTGGATCCAAGCTGATGTGCAGCAGCCAAGGGCTCAAACCTTAGCATTATACAGAGATCTATGTGGGTTGAGGAGGATGTGGGCAGCAAGGGGTTAAACAGGGACATAGGATGTGGAAGGTCTCCCAGAGGCTTTTGAGATCACAGAACCTTTAGGGAAGGGACAGACTAACACTGACTGCCTTATGGGGCCAGTTTTCCTTCACAGGAAAATGGGAACATCCACAAAACACTGAGGTCCTGGGAGCTCTGGATCTTGGAGGAGCCTCAACACAAATAACCTTCCAGCCTGGAGTCACCATTGAAGACAAAAACACGTCTGTCCTCTTCAGGCTGTACGGCACCAACTACTCACTCTACACCCACAGCTACCTGTGCTATGGGCAGATGCAGGCCTTGAAGAGGCTGATGGCAGCTCTCCATCAGGTATCGCAGCCATGGGGCAGTAGAAGCTGCTCAACCATTTCCCATTGCCATGAAAAATGTCTTCCAGAAAATTTGTACACATATGTAGAAAAAGTGGTAGGGAACTTTCACAGATTCAAGAACCTGAGAAAGGCTTTTATTTTATGTACTAGACTAAAAAATTTTATCATTTGAGTGGAAGTAGTGGTGGTCCCATGCAGGGCTCTCACCTCCCCAGATTTTGCCATATAACAGCATTTTCCATCATTTCCCAAGTCCAGACGTAGCTTTATATTCTTCCCTGTTCTCACAGATACCCACATAAAGTGTTTCCTTGCCTGGATGGTTTCCAGGGATCATCTTCATTGTATGTGAAGTGACTTAAAAGCCAACCAGGTCCTTCCTTGGACAGCAGGTGCAGCATTCAGTTAGAAGACACGAAGTGCAGTCAGCCAAAGACATGGTCTGGCACCTCCTGGCCTGGATGATCAAATGTCCAAACTGTGAGCCCCTCCATAAGAGAGCAGATTGGGTGGGGAGCTGAGACTGCACACAGCTCAGTGCAGAGATTATAGCTGTTAATGGGAGTTATATTCACCTGCCCCTTTGACTTTTTCTCAAAGTGAGGATTCCAGACACCCTCTCCTGCACACTGCTCCACCAACAGCCAGAAATTTTCCCATCTCAGCTCAGATGAGGAGGTGAGATGCCCAATGCCGTGGGAGATGGAGATAGTTGAGGAGCGTGCAGATGGAACGCACCTTCAGTCCTTTCTGGGTTAGAACCTGCAAGATGTGGTGGGGACAAACCAGGTACCAAAAACGACAACTTCTCCACACAGCAGAGAGGCAGTGGCCATGGGAGCGAGATTCCAGCCTTACAGGCACCTTACAGGCTTCACAGTGGCACCACCACCGCAGTCCTGCTCAGCAGCAGTGGCAGGACTAACAGAATGCATCGGCATGTTAAAGGCATCCAAAGGTTGGATTCTGCTTCTGCTCAAGTCCTCCTGGGATCTAGATCCTGCTTTCAGGGGGGGTGTAAGCACAGGCTGAGCTACGGGGTAAGTTATCACTGGCACCCCACATCAAGCACAAGAGGTAATGGCTGCTTCTCTCTCAACAGGACAGCCAGTACGCCCAGCAGATATCACACCCCTGCTACCCCAAGGGATACCAGGAGAACATCACCGTAGCAGAGCTCTACGACAGTCCCTGTGTCCCCATTCCAAGCACGCTCAGCCCTGCACAGATCCTCACAGTAACAGGGACGGGGAACCCGGCGGCGTGCCGCACCGCCATCCTGAAGCTCTTCAACTTCACCTGTGGGGCCAACAGGACGTGTGGGTTCGACGGGGTCTATCAGCCACCTGTGAGGGGACAGTTCTTTGTAAGGAGCCTCGGCTGTTGGTGCTGGTGTGGGTGCGGGGATGGAGGGTGGAAGTCTTCCCTACTGTTGCTTGTGAGAAGGGGCAGCAAAAGAGGGGACTTCAAAGCTGGCCCCATCTGCAAACCTCTGCCCCTAAGCTGGAAAGTGGATTCTGCCTTCTGCAATGTCCCAGCTCCCCCTGAGGGAAATGGGAAGATTTTGTCCATGAGGAACAAGCCTGAGCTGGCCAGGCTCCTGAGCGCAAACAGAAACCAAAGGCTTGTCCATGGCCTCCAAGTGTTGTAGACTATCAGGTGGATGCAGAACCACAGAGATCACATGGAAATCTGCCCCCCAGCAGAGGGTCTGTTGGGTCAGGCTTTACTCTAAGATCTGATCCAAGAGGTTGCAGTGAGATGCTCTGCCACAGGCTCAGCCAGCCCTCTTAATCTGATACCCCACTTGTCTGAGGCAGGGATGGCAGTGCTGACCCCAAGCCCAGAGGTGCTGTGAGAAGAGGCCTTCCTTTGGGTGAGGAGGGAGATGCAGTTTTTACCATCACCCCTTCTTCTCCAGGCCTTTGCTGGGTTCTACTACACCTTCTCCTTCCTGAACCTGACCAGCCAGCAGTCTCTAAGCCATGTCAATGCCACAGTCTGGGACTTCTGCAACAAGAACTGGTCCAAGGTGAGAGCCTTGTAAAGGGCACCAAGGAGTCCTCTGCCTGTCCTCTCCCAAATCCCTGCCCAGAAAGCACGTGCTCTGCTGTTCTCTGGGCAAGGGAAGGTTTCATTCCTCATTATATTGTGTCCCTTGATGACTCTGAAGCTGGTGGAGACCTTCCCAGACAATAAGGAGCACCTACACACGTACTGCGTGGTGGGACTTTACATCTTGACACTGCTGGTCGATGGCTATAAGTTTGATGAGCGCACGTGGAGCAACATCCACTTCAGCCAGAAGGTAAAAAAAAGCTTCGTGGGGCAGAGGGAACAGGCAGGCAGCTGTGGCCACGTCCTTGCCCTGGCCCAAGGACACAGTGCTTTGCAGGGGGGCTGGACTCGATGATCTCTACAATCCCTACAATTCTGTGATTCAGGAGCACCATCCCTGGAATCTCCTGCACCAGAAATGTGTCCTTGCCTCGTGTCTGGGGATCCCAGCACAGCTTCAGTCCTGCCTGCCCTCAAACCACTGACCCCAGCTCTTATGTACTCTGATGGAAACATAAGCTAATTTTAAGGGGGTGAGAGAAGTGCAGAGTAAGATTCAGCCACTTTGATCACTAATGCTGTGCAGAATTCACATAAACAGCAGGGAAGCGATTGTGGCCCCATGAGCCATGTGAACCAGAATGAAATCAAATTTGAAGGATTTTAAGGGGAGGAAAACACAGGTCACAGAGGCACATCTGCACAACAGCAGCTGCCTTTTAAGCAGCAGCTTAAAAGCCCTTGGGAAAGGGGAGGGCAAAGCTGCTGTGTAACTGGCACTGGTGGGACCAGGTCTGCCACCGTCCCTCACACTAAAGCCACCACTGCCCCAGGGAGGCACTTTCTGATGATCTCCTGTGTTCTGTCACCTCAGGCAGGAAACACAGATATTGGCTGGACGCTGGGCTTCATGCTGAACCTCACCAACATGATCCCCACGGAGGCTCTGGAACACATCAAGGGGCAGCAGCCCAGTCTGTGGGCAGGAGCCATCTCCTTCATTGTGCTGGCTATAGTTACAGGCCTGGTGGCAATTCTCCTCCAGTGTTTCTGGAAATCCAAGTAGCTCCAAGTAGCTCCAAGAAGCCTACGGGCACCCTGCCTTCTAAACCAGGCAGGGAGGGTGGTGCAAGAAAAGGTGGAAGCAAGAGAGGGAAGAAGGCATTAAGCCCCACCTCCACTGCTCATGAAGTCTTCTTGAACCACATCTGTAAAGACATCAAAGGCATCTTGAACTCCCTACAAATCTCAACGAGGAAATGATGCCAGAAACCTCTTCAATCTGGCTGACAAAGGCCAAACTGAGATGTAGCGGCCATATGAATTCAAGCTAGAAATAAAGCCCTTTTTGTTTTTCAAATACAAAGGTCGCTAACAAGTCTAGCAGAGCTTCCATCCCTCGGCACTTCCACACCTGCTGGGTTGGCTCTCCCAGCTGCAGCTGTGGAAGGCAATGGGTGCTGGAGAGCAGTGGTGGTCACCTAGGCTCTGGGAGAGGACTGGCATTTTCTGTATCCTGTCTTGTATAAGATGTGCAAGATTTCTGTAGTATGTGGTAGAATGTCTTTCCAAGGACAGACTGTCAGCTGTCTGTAAGTTATTTACAATCATATCTCAGCAAAAAAAATACAATTGGAACTTGATTTAAGAGCTGCCAACTCTGCTCAGTGTTTATTTCACGTTCAAGTTATATACTCCAGCTTTGTCAGACACTAAATCCATAGCAGGCTCCAGCTCCAGGCACTTGAGTGTTTTATCTACATCAGCAGAGCCCAGCACAGCTCAGCTGCAGGAATCAGACAGTCCTCTCAGTCCTTCCAGCTCCAGCCACCAGGTCAGCACTGCAGTGCCCAGCCTGCCTTCTGCACAGACCCTCCAAGCCTCTGCCAGAGCCCCAGGCTGGTGTGAGCAAGGGTGTCTCCACAGCTGCCTCTCTTTGCTGCAGGACCCCTGTCCACACAGCAAGAAGCAGGAAAATCCAGGCAGGACTGCTTAGGGGCTTGAGAAAACAACCAAAGGCATCTGGGCTGAGAAAGAATCAGAGCTCTTTGGCTCTTTCAGATCCACAGAGTATTTACTGTGTGAAGATGATATATAATGGTCCTAACCATCATGGAGAGGGAGTAAACTCCCCTGCCCAAAAGGAACCTTTTCCCACCCTGCAGTGTGACACACAGCACGTGGACATTTCCTGTAGCCAAACACAGTCCCCTCCTTTCTCTATGCCCTATACAGGAACATCTTTGGCAGTGGAACCACAGAGGTAAAAGTGTCAGGTCTGGGAACAGGCTGCAGGAACTGCTGCCAAGTGAGTGCTGGAACAGACCTCACGGGATCTGTCAGTGCAGGACATCTGTTCAGGTTGAGCAGAGCTCCTGTCTGGGCCAGCTGTGTCCAGATGAGCTGGTTCTGGTGTCTCCTACCCCTGGCAGATGGGACTGATGGCAGCGGGCTCCTCATGTGGTCAGGCAGAAGGCTCCTGTTCCCTATGGGAAGGCACAACTGGTCTGGGTTGCAAAGCATTTAGGGAAGATGCCAGTCTTGCCGTTGCAGCGCCCTTCAAGCCAGTCCTTGTTCACTGAGAAAACAAAAAGAATCAAGATAAGCTCTGGCTCACGGGAGCAAGGTTAGTGAGCTTTCATGGCTCAAAGTTAACTCTGGTCTGCACCTCCTGCTGTCACAAACTTGAAACAGCACTGGAAAAGTCATCCACTCCTCTGTCACATTTACATCAGACTCTTTCAGAGAGCCTGTAGATATGACTGGAGAGCTACCTTCAGAGAGAATATCCAGCACATCCCCCTTGTTGAACTCCAGGTCTCCTGGTCCCTGTGCAGGGTACGAGTGCTGAGCCAGCATCCGGTAGAGGATGGGTCTGCCTGAGTGGGAGTCCAAGTCCTACAGCAGAAAATCAGCATGAAGGTTGCAAGGAAAAGCAGAGACAAGATTAGAGCCCAGCATAGCAGAGATGCTTGTCACAGCCCACGTACCTGGCAGCAGAGTGTGATCCTGCCATCTGTCAGCTGCTGCCACATCTTCCCTAGATCTTCCTCTCCTGAAACTGCACCTAGTTCTTTGCCATCCAAATGCCTGTAGCTGTAAGGGTTCATTAACATGACTCAAATCATATGATCTAAAGACATTTAGGCAAATCTAGCCTTCTACAACCTTCAGTCTGCAAAACTCTCTTTGTAAACCAGCTCCAAGTTTGTCACCTTGTGCAATGACAAGGGGCCACCTTGCATGCTCAATGGGCACAAATGGGCACACATTTGTTGGGGAGGGTCTTGCCTCCTCAGACACTTGAGGGGTAGGTCTGAATCTCTTATGTCTGCACCAACTGTGAGTCCCCAGGGATGTCACGGTCAGGGATACCCAACCCAGGACTAGCTAACACCGGACTCTCAGATTGCTCTGCATTGATTCCAGTGTGTCTTTAAGGCCATGCATAAGAAAATTCAACACAGCAGTTGCATTTGCACAGAGTTTTTCCTTCTGTTCTCTCTTTTCTTGACAATGACACAGTTTCCTTGGAAAGATCCTCCAGGTCTCCAGAGCCTGTGGATCACACGCTGTTCCCCATCGACCAGAGACCAGACGCAGTCAGACGCCCGCATCCTCAGGGAAATCACTGCTGCCAAACACTGCAAGGACAGGGTGCACAGTGAGTGCTGGAGGACGCCATACCTCAGCCTCCCACGCTCTGCCTGCTGGCCAAAACGCTGCCGGAGCAGCGCCCGCAGCGCCGGCACGGAGGGCACCTCGCCTGCCCTCAGCACCACCGTGCACTCGCAAAGCACCCGCAGCACAGCTGGTCTGTCCGAGCTGGAGGAAGTGTCTCTGTGGGTCAGTGGGACCTGTGAGAGATGTGGCAACACAGCCTGGTTATTCAGGGAGCTCTTAGCATGAGAGCTGGCAGATGCAGGATCTGGCTTCGGTGCTGCTGCAGAGACCGTGAAAGATCAAAATGAAGATTTGAGTTTTAGAGAGGGAAAATGTGGGGTCAAAGCCTAGGACCAAATGCTCCTGCCATGACCCAGGAAGCGTGTTTCTGGCTCAGATAAAAACAACCTCTGAATGTAAACCTGTATGAGCCGAGCCCCAAGTCCTCCACATATCTGGAGAGGTGCAGCCAGGTCCTGCTGCCTTCTGTCAGAAGTACAGCTCCAAAACAAGACCCCCAAATCCCTGCAAACGCGGGCAGCGAAGACAAAGGGGATAAGAGCTGATCTGCCCCTGGCACTGCTAGAGAGGTGCTGACCCCAAGTGGACACAAAATCAGTTCCAGCTCCACCACACACCGGCTGGCAACGACATGGAGCTGCATTAGATGGCATTATCCCAGAAGAAAGCTGCTATGGATGTTTGAATTATCATCATAAGCAGACTGACAAGGACAGAAAATGTTACGTGGGAGGAGGGGACCAGGGATAGCAGGTAGTTCAAAGGCAAAATGGCTGCAAACTGGGCACTGTTGTGCCTGGGGCTTTTGGCTCCGGGAGGATGGCAAAAGAGTTCTGACCTAGGAAACCTCAACTTCGGGGCTGCCTCACAAAGCTGTAGGGTCATGAAATCAGGAGCGATGGAGGAAAGGCCACACGGGCTCTCTGTGGAAATGAAAAATGGGCAAAGGAAGAGGTTTTTTTTCCCAGTGATTTTGGGGCAGCTCAGGAACTCTGAAGCACCTGGCCATAATCTGACCCCTTGTGCTTTTTATATCCTTCATTTCCTAGGGCAGTGAGTGGCAGCTTCAGTTTGTTAAACACCTTACTTCAAAATCCACTTGGGATCTGGAATCATTTGCAGAAACATTTTCTTCCCCAGGAGATTCTGCAGAATGAGAACACAAAAACAGCACCTGCAGTCAGCAGAGGCCACACACAGCACTTCTGCAACCCACCAGCACACAGGCAGCCACTGCTTCAGAGGGCAGCAACCTCCCCATGCACCCTAAAGCCCCTTTGGGCACAGCAGCTTCACAAAACACCCACAGAGGTCCTTGGCCCACAAGACTACCTGGTGTCTGCCTCACGTGGAGCCGGCTGGGAGGGACCTGGGCAGGAGGGAGAGGAATCCCATCATTGATCTTCTGCAACAGAACAGCGTAAGAAAGGAGTGAGCAGAAGACACTGGAGGGTGGGCAAGGCCAGTGTTCAGGTCAGAGGCTGCAACAGATTACAAATTTTCCCGGGGACACCAGTTCATGAAGCAAATGCCCAAGTGAGTGTTATGGCCAGGGATTCATATGGAGGAAAAGAATCATAGCAGAATTAAAACAAAAATCTCTTGTGGGGAACTAGAGCCTGTATAACACGTTGCAGCATTGGGTTCAGACTGGAGAAGGACTGGGATCACGTGTGGAAATGCCTATGGAGGAGATGGGAGATGAAGAAATATTTCCCTGAGTCAAAGGTGAGGATTGAGGGCTTAAGCACATGGCCTCCGGGCAAAAAGCTGTGTCTGTCTGGAATTTCTGTCCCATTGCAGATTCCCCTGCTCTGTGCTGGTGAACCAGAACATATGAGCACTCCTCACCCATTTCTGTGCTGTCTGATAGCTGTAGGGAGCAGGTTGGCCAATTACACGCTGGCTGCCCTCACGATTATTGTGACAACAACGTGACAGTTGGTCATGAGAGCTGTGGCAGCTTCTCTTGTCAGCCCCAGTAAATAAGAGATAACAACACCTAGATGAGCCCGTGATGTGCGACACTGAGGCCTGGGCATGCATCTGCACTTTGCCATACAGAGATCAGATGCACAGAAACTAATAAGCATTTTTCCTGCTCTTAACCCTTCTGTTGTTCAAGAGCACTCAGTCTTTGCTCACGATGTCTAAGCTCAAATGCAGTGCTTGCCTTACGCTACCATTCTATCCTGAGATAGTCTTACAAACAAAAGTTCTGAACATATATTTCTCAGTCATTTCTTCTTCCCCTGGGTTCTGAGGCTGTTCGCTCACCCATTTATCCATCTTTGAGGCAGGCTCCAGGATAGAGGTCGGTATGTGCAGCTTCTGTGGGACAAAGAGCGAATCATTGAGACAGGAGCTGCTGCTGTGGGAGCTCCAGCCTACCCAGCTCCATCTTCTGTTAACCCCAGTTACACTGCTTGTGCCCTTACAAAGCATCACTTGATTGCCATACAAATGTGCCCATGGCAGGTCCAGCTATGGGCAGCATTAAAAAAAGGTTCGTTCCCAGAAATTGCTGAAAAACATCCAGCAGTCCTTTTGCATCATTTCCTACCAAAAGCAGTTTTAGTAATCGAGTGGCTGTGAAGTGACCCCCCAGGCCCAACACCCTGCTCCTCAAACACATGCTCAAGGAGAGAAGCAGCAATGCTGAGAAGTACCAGCCCAGCAGTGTTCTTTGTCTTCCAACAGTCTCTCCTACAGAGCTATTCATTCCAACTGATCATTGTGAATAATTACGCTTTTTGTTTTTTTTTTTCCAGTGTGTGCAACATTTAATTCCTCTTTTCTTTGATATTCATCTGACACTTTATTGACTAAACCAGCACATTCAGATCCTTCTGCGGCTCCAGGTCTGTGCTTCAGGCCATGATGAATGGTTTGACTGCCATGAAACATTACTGCCTTAAGAAACGCACTGCACTGCTGTCACTGTGCCACTCAGGGATCTGCTAAAGGACAGATCCTGTTAGGACATCCTTTCTTAAAAACAAGCAAACAATTAATTTACATTCACCTTTTATTCCTCTTCTAATCTGTTATCAGTCCTCAAAGCATAGTCTCTCTTGCTTAATGAGCTCAAGCTATCTTTTGTGGTTCTGTGTAGAATTTTTTATTAATTTTAAAGCAGGTAAATAACTGTGCGTTGGCTCCTTCAAATGACTTAATTACACATGAGAAGTCATCAAAAGACTTTTCCATGTTGTATCTCTGTATTCCACCCGCTTTTCCAATTCTATCTAGTTAAGGACCAAGCTCTCTCTTTCGCTCTCTTAGAGCTCTCAGCTGACAAATCCTGCTCCATACTGTAACCCTTTGTGAGGTCTACGATCCTACCTGATTCCACCATAGGATCCCCCAAAGTGGAGAGCACAAGTGCCCAAAAGGACACTTCTGTGGAGCTACAGATGTGAACAGGAGAAGCTGGGGAGAGCCAAGAGTCAGAGACATCACGTCTGCAGTTAGCAACTGCTCTGCAGAAATGAGCTCCTGAACTCAGCTCTTCGGTGCTACAGGTGGGTCCTCAGAGGACACACTCAGAGGGCTGCATTGAGCTCCTGTTTGCAGACAGGACTGTGGTCTCTGCTGGAAATCCCATCTATTTTTTTCTTACCTGCCCATCATGTATGGCTGTAGCCCAGCCATCTGCTCCTCTTGCCAGCACAAAGACCAGGCTGCTGGCTTTCACTGCCAACTTCTCCACACCCTCAGGGTAATAATGGGACAAAACTCGATAGTAGCCTGATTCACGGTCTCTGGAAAGAAAGAATGAGAATAACGATAAAATCTTCCAGATCAAAGCAATGACTGAATTCAGCTTCAAATTTCTGTTGTTACATTATCACCAGAACAATTTTCATGTTTTTTTTGAACCACTTAGTGAATACTTGGGAATTTTATACTGAGAACTAGATCTGGACTGCTGAGCATCCTCTGCCACTGACCTGGGCAGATCCTACAGCCTCTCTCTGCCCCCATTTCCCAGCCAGAATATGATCTTTGCCTATATCCCAAGGTCACTGAATCGGTTCCTGCAAACTGTCCCAGTATCTCTGTACAAGAGCTGCTACTGAACTGCCATACTCTTGCCAGGTGCAGTTTCTTGCAGCCACACAAGCCTTCATGTATTCAACATTCATTCCACCCTTGGGGCAGGTGGGGGTGAATCACAAAGAGTCCTCAGACAGAGACATGGGAAAACAAAACATGATTTTTTGAACAGAAACAGTGAGAGAAGAGTTAGACCAGGGTAGAACTGAACACATACCTCACAGCATCAGCACTGGGTTCATAAAAGCCCTGTTTCTGTAGGAAGACAACAGCATATAACAGTATGTTACACAGCAACATTACGACCTTATTTACTGTCCTTATGAATAGGAGGGAGCTTCACATATGGTACTTTCTGTAATCCCTGTTTGTCACACCACAACATCCAGAGAGAAGTCTGCTGTTCCACACCTTGCCAGGATGAACCTGCCTCTTCTCGTTCGCCTTCTTTATCAATCGCAATCAGAGTAGCAAACCATTGACTCCAAGACACTCACATAACTGCAAACCAGCTATGCCTGTGCTGACAGACTTAAGAAAGTAAATTCACAAACGTGCATTGAGTGCAGTGAAATCTCCACTGCTCTTTGGACACAGCGAAGAGACAAAAGCGCATCATCCAAGGGTTGGAGACTCATTCTGCCAAGTCCTTCCCAGTCAACATCAAAGCACTCCAGCGTGCTCTGAAAGCCCTCTGGATCTGGTCTCCAGAGACAGAAACAGCTCTGCTTTTCCATTAATATTTCATATTAATATCCATTAACACTGATGGTGTTAGGATCTGAGGCCCTACATGGAGCTCCATGACTGCCCCATTCCATTTTTCACAGCAACGTCCTGCTCACCTGTGGCCTGAGAGGTTCAAAGCCAATGTACTCATCATTGGGAATGATGGATGAGATCACCTGTGCAAGGAGAAAATAACGACTTAATCTAGGCTGGATGAAGAGATGCTCGGACTTCCTGTGAGACTTCCACTCGGACCACTTCCTTCTGACATCTTGAGTGGTCAGGCTTAAAGCAGAGCAATGTATTTAGTGGAAAATGCAGCTTCAACAGTTTTTGTCCATGTATTTTCCATCTTTACAAAGCCCTTCAAAGTATGAGTGGATTATTTTCCCTTTCCTTTGTTCATACCGGAGCGATTTGGCCTGTGGCACTTCTGCTGACTGCTCTGGTCATGGAAAGGATTGGAAGAATTCTCTGCTGGTTTGCATTAAAGCACATAGCAAAGCATTTTTCTGCAAAGTGCATGTTTGTCCCATTGGGAATGCAGTAACAAATAGGAGGAATGTGCTCCTTTGAAAATGTTGTTGTCAGCAAAATGACAGCCACAGGGATTCGTAAGCACCTGCTCAGCTGTGGTTGGTGGTTTTTTTCCAGTTTAAAGTGGCCAAGATTGGGAAGGATTTTAGCAGCAATATGCATTTTTGATAGAAAAGGTATCACTTCTAACAGATTTTGGCTTGTGTGTCCCAGATGCCCTGACTGAGAGCCCTGCCACTGGGTCTCCACCAGTGTAGCGATGGGTGGAGCGGGCAGCAATGACACTCTGCAGATGTCAGAAGGTGGGGTGTTAATCCGTTTGCTGTTTATCTCAATCATCACATGGCTGTTACCTTGGGTTTCCCCAGGAAATCTTTTGAATCCAGCTGTTCAACTTCCTTCTTTCGTGGTCTGAAAAATTCCCCCAGGGGAACCTGCATAGGCTCTAAAAATAGATGGTTCTGGGGCGTGGGAAGAAGACAAAGGAAAAGCCATTGGTTAATATGAAATGAATCACAGCAGCAGTGAAAAGCAAATATAGCTTCTGTGTGAGGGAGAGATCGGCTCCAGGAAGACATCGGGGCAAAAAATAAAGCTGTGAACTTGATAAAGGTCACTAAGTTTTAACCAGCACGTGAAAAATAGAAGCCCAGCAGCCACTGCCTAGTATGGAGTCAAAGGCTGACTGTCAGCATAGGAGGGGTGGGAAGGGAGGGCAGTGGAATAAAGTCTGTTAAACAAGTCTCTAAATGTCTCTAGTTGATTTCAGATATTTTGTTTGGTCTGTCTGTGCAGCAGCTGAGGAGCAGGTAAATAGTGAATGTAAATCATATGCTAATGTAAAGCACAAACATGATGCTAGATGGGAAGATTAGATTACTAAAGTGATAACTCTTTAGAAAGGAGACAAACAAAACAAGGAAGTATGGAAGCAACAAAATAATGAACCCTCCAGGGAAAGTAAATCAGATACCTGTAAGTCGTTCCTGATCGTAAAAGTCTTAACAGGAAACTATTATGTAGAATCATCTCCATAAACACGCTTGCACTGTATTTAAGCTCTAAAGGTGATTGTCATTAATGTCTGAGCTGCTACCAATTGTCACCAGAGCCAAAGGGATTCAAAGAAGTCTGCCAGCTTTGTGAAAAGTGAGACTCTCCAAATCTGCATTCAAATACTCCATGAGGCAACTTGTTTCACAGTGCAAGTAAGAATAGGGCCGAGCTCCTGAACAGCAGGGTCTAGGAAGTACTGACTTCAACGTGAAGGTAAGCCCATAATTCCCAGCTCTGGTGCTTCTATGCCATAAAGCTCCTGGAAGTGACAGAGCTGAAGCTTGGTAGAGCATCACACAGCAATTGCTTGGAGTGTCATCAGGTGACCAAACCGCTGGGGCAGACAGGAAAACCCAAAGACATAAAACACTGCAATTCTTCTCTCGGGTTCCTCAGCTCAAGCCCAAAGCACTTCCCCAGTCTTACCTGCACTCGCTCAAGGGCCAGGGCCAGCGTTGCTGATTTTCCTTCAGGTCTCCACACGACGGCCTTCTCTAGGGTCTCTCTGGCCTCCTGCCACTGCTGCAGCCGGCACTGCGTGGCAGCAGTGCTGTACAGCACCTGAGGCCAGAAAGCAGGGAGCACAGCTGTCCTCCTGCTGCTCCAAGGGCAGCAGCTGAACGGCACCCAGTGCTACCAACTGGGCTCAGCCAGGCAAGAGACCTGGCACTGAACCACCACGAAAAGAGCCTGCTCCCCACTGCTCACAGGAAAGGCACCGTGAGGAGCACAGCTGAGAAAACTTCATAATCAGACTGGAAAGAGATCAAAGCTGTGCTTTCAGCTGGCACTGCCAGTTCTGTTCAAAGCACGGACAGGCATGGGGAAGAACAGATGAAGACTGTGTTACCAAACAGGTTTTCATCTTATTCTTCCTGTGTCCAAAAGGCTAGTAAGGCAAACTGTATGGGTATCTTTCTATATGAAACTAGGTAATCTTTTCTGCTGCACAGAATTGTAACCTTCTCTTTCACTTTGGGATAACCTAACTGAAATTTCTGCCCTTTGCGTGGGCTCTGAAGGTGCAGGTTGCAGCTGTAGCTTGCTACCCAGCATGTAAATACGCTCTTTGAAGAGGTGGTGTGAGAGTACTACAGACTGGGCATCAAGAAGCCTCAGTCTGTATGCTTAAGTGAGAGGAAGAGAGTTCTTTTCCACTGTTCCATTGGGCATCAGAGTACGGAAACGCTGCTGTCCAACAAGGCAGAAGCACGGTCTAACAGATTCATTCAGATAACCACATCATGTAAGATAGTAAGGTATCAGTTTGCAAATTGCTTTCTGGTATTTGGACAAAAAGCAGTACTTGGAACTGAAGTGCAGGCAGTAGGAATAAAGGAAAAGCAACCTACACCATAATTGAATATCAGTCTTTCAAGGTGGAATGATCATGCTGAACATCTACTGGAACTGCAGAGATACTCCTCCTTGGAAAGACAGCATCCTCAATTCAGCTCAGAAGTATCAGCTCCACCAGAGGCAAAAAATGCCTGGATTTCCAGACCATACACCGAAATCTCTCTCTTGAGAGGATCAGATGCAGCCCACAAGAGGTCTCTCATGTGGAAAGCTGATGGCGCAGCTCTGTAGGAGGGTTTGTTTGTGCAATTCGAAAAAACAAGCTGCAGGTAGCTGTAGCAGTGAGATAGAAATGAATCAGGATGAGATCCTGAATCCAGTGTCAGAATAGTGAGAGCACACAGCCTGGCAGCACCTGGAGCACATGGAGAGAGGGACTGGATATTCATCACACAACCAGTGCCATCTTCCTCCAGGTGGACTGGGCACTCCTGTAGCCCTGTGCATTTTAAAGGAAGCCTTTGTTTCCAAGTGCATTTGAGCTCTAATACTGCAGTACCGTGGCACTGAAACTGTTAAAAACAGTAAGGTTTGGGAAGCATCACAGATGCCAAGGGTAACTCCTTCCTGCCAGGTACAACGTGATGTGAATTAAAGAAGGCTGAATGACAAGTTCCAAGGCACGCTTGATTTGCGTTGCACAATGACTCCTTGCTCTCGCAGAAGTAAGGTTTAAATATTTGTTCCTGTATCTGCTTCTTGGTCTGTGTACACAGAGTTGGGAATGCAAAATTAACCTTCCCAGTAACGCATGCACAGCTTTTATGAGTCCTTTACAAACTAAACATGAAGGTGCTTACAGCCAGTTCTGACTCAGACTTTCTTTAATGGCACACAGCAGGCTGATTCTGTGGGACAGCCTACGAGCTGCACACAGAGGGTTGCAGTAGCAATGTGCTGCTTGCAGCCCAGTGAGGTTAGACACAGAGATAACACTGAGACCAGTTGCTATAGTTGGAAAAATGGCTTTTGTGAACAAAACTTTCAAAAGATCTTTATTCTATACAAATTTTGTTCCTATCTGTCTATAATTCAATCTATTTCAACTTTTAAAGCTGAAGAGTTGATAAAATTTGTGTATGTATTACTACAAGCAAGCTTAAAAAAAAAATCATGGGAATCTGCTTCAAACGATTTCACATCTTAGAGTCACTTGTTAAAACTCTTCAGAGATGATATTGCTTTATGAGTGCTTTTAAAGGAACTGAATCACGGAAGTGAAAGCATTTTTTCTACTGTCCTAACATAGGGCCATAAAAAGCTTTTGGGTTACTCATGCCTGCTGCTGAAAACCTGATGAACGACTCAACAGGGGGGAAAGACAGCGGAGTCAGAAGTACCCTTACCTCCCATGCGTAGAGAATGTGCCTCAGCCCCAGCTGCTTGTAATCAATGAAGGGATTTTTTCTTAGATGACTGAAGGCCAGATGATAGTCAGAGAGAGCTTCTTCATACCTGCAATGCAGAAATGACAGGTGAAACTGAGATTAAAAAGCTAAACTCTAATTACAGAGTTCAAGAGTAAACCAGCAAAAATACGCACTCTGCCTAACAGCCTGCATGAGGAGAGCAGCAGCAGGGATGTGTGTCATCCTGAGACCACAGAAAATTCTCTGTCCTATCCTTGTAGTTATTACAAGATGAATCTGGCGAGTCTCTCCTCTAGGACTATCTGCACTTTACTATTTGGGATAAAAGACAGGCTTTGATACAATTTGATACAATTGCATTTCTGCAATTAATGTAAAATGCAAAGAACAAAGCTTTACAAATGCTGTCAGCTCCCTACCCAGCTTTTTTCTGGCAGTTCTGCCCTGGCAACATCTCAGAGAAGAAGCAAGGGTTATGAAACCCCTGCTGATGGTGAGCATATACAGACAGAGCACTGTTCATAGAATCACAGCATTGCTCAGGTTGGAAAAGACCTCCAGGTCCAACTGCAACTACTAGTAGAAATTTGGAGAAACTCCTAGAGCAGAGGGTTAGTCTGAATTTACACCACCGTCAACTGAAATCAAAACAGGTCCCACTGAGATCGCAGGCTGAGAAATGAAGGGTTCAGGAAGGGCTGTGCAATGGTCACCCCATCAAGAGGCAGAGGGGAACAGCTGCAGCCCTGGCCAAGGCACAACCATCCATGAGCATGGCTCTGCTGGTGGTGGCACACAGCATGTAACTGCTCACTCATCTCATTTCCAAAGCTAAAGATAGTAGTTCTGAGAACTTAACCGGGAAAAAATGGGAAAAATAACAGGAAAGAGTAATTGAAGGTCAGAGGAGACCTGTGAAGTCTCCCACGCACCTCTGTGAGCAGGATGTCACTGAGGTTTAACCCCAGAAACAGGGAACAATCCCACGATGACTGTGGAGCAATTCTACTGTTAAATCAGTGAGCAAGATAAGGCTGACCGCAAACAGTCAGCAGAGGGTAGGACAGCAGGGCAGACTGTGGGCTTGGGAAGGCCAGACTTGCATGTAACGTATGAAGACACATGAGACAGTGCAACTATAAGTTTTTCACTTCTTGTGACAAACTGAATGGCAACGTAACCCTCCATCAGCCCAGCATACAGGAGTGGCTTTGGCTTCTTTCCCTGCGTGTACAGGTCAATAATGGTACATATCAGCCACTGCTGGGGTTCTGAAGCTGCACAGCTTGCATCTGCTCAGTTCTCCTCTGTAAATGGAAGATGAGACTTGCTGACCTGTAACACGGTTTATAAGGCCAAACCAGACCATATAAAATGCTTAAAATTAGTGGAGGATCAAGTTTTAGGGATAAAGCTGTACTAAAAGCAGAAAACAAAAGAATGAGCAGGAAAGAACATTACTTACATTTCCAACTGCAGGCAAACAAACCCTCTCTGAAAGTAGCCGACAGCGAGGGAGTTGTCCTTTGTAACTGTTTTATCAAATGCCTATGGAGAAAAACAGACATCTTGGGGATGAGTGAGGACTCCTCCATCAGTGCCCTAGGCTTGTGAACAGCTTGTCTGCTCTGAGAAATGTGGAGCTGTGATCCCAGCTGAGGGGCAGGAAATGGCTCCAAGCCCTCTCTCAGGTTTTGCCTCTCCGTGAGCTGAGCTTCAAGATTTTACCCTTCCTTGGGAAAAAAAGACTGAATGCAACAAATGAGCCCTGTCTGCCATCCGATGTCTTGCAACCTGCGAGCCCTGTTGCCTGGAGCAGAGCTTGATCTAACAGCAGGCTGTTTGAATCTGCCTACAGTGACCTGTGCATAAAGAGAGAAACCGAAGGGCTTCACAAACTGCACTTAAATTCAATATTTCTGCTTCCAGTTTCCAGGTGAATATCAGCAAAGCCGGTAACAGCTTGTGGCCAACGGTTCAGTTTCCCACTCTGCTACAAAACAGCCTTCCCGAGAATCTGCCTGAGAATGCTGGGAGGCCTCTTCGCACAACTACTGCAGCATGGCAGCATGAAGACAGTGAATCGAGGCCGGCCCTCTGGGCGTCCTCATGTTGCCCAGCACCGCAGTGAGGAAAACGCACTGCAGGACTCAGGGTGTCGGTGTCCCGTTGGCAGGGTGTCTGGCTCCTCCTGCGGCTCAGCCAGCACTCCTTGCTCTGCTCTGCTGTTCTATAAGAGGACAAAACAACCAACTGTTGGTCTACACAGAAGCACAGCCGAGCCGTGTCCCTGCTCCCTGGGGCTGTTCAGAGGCTCTCAGGCACCGTCTCTCACAGGTATGAGACACAGCTCTGCCCCTTCCAGCACAGCCTGAATTCTGCCTTCTGCTGTTCGAAAGTACCATATACACCTCGGCGGGCTGCTGACAGCGAGCTGTGCAGATGCCTGGCTGCTGGAAGCTGCGATGAGGCTTTTTCCCAGCACTTGCACGCTCGCCCCACATCGCACCAGACGCGATATTCCGCGATAGCGGCTCCTCTCGGCAAACTCAGCTCGTACAGCATCGCCAGGGGACGCGCAGAGCTGCAGAGCTCCGTTTTACGCCCACTGGTTCTCTCTGACAGGCATCAAGACCGGTAGATTTCACCAGTTCGAGAAAGGCGTCGTGGAGGAGCGCGTGGGGCGTTTTTCCCTCACACACCGGGTCGAGCAGAGCAGCCCGAGCCCCCCGCCGCGCCCCGCCGCGCCGCCCTCACCCGCAGGGCGTCCCGCAGCCGCCCGGCTCGCAGATGCACGCAGCCCACGTTGAAGCAGATCCTGGCCGGCGGCTCCTCGATGCCGCAGAACGCGTCCAAGGCCGCGTCCCAATCCCCGTCGTCCGCTGCCAGCACGGCTCGGTGCCAGCGCTTCAGCAGCTCCCGGTACGCCATCGCGCACAGCCGGCTCCCGCACGGCCTCACCTGTGTGCGGGGCGGGCGGAGGCGGACAACGAGGAAGTGCTACGCCCGGCTCCCTCCTGCCCGGGGCGGATGAAGGGAGGCGGGATGCGGGACCACGCCACGGCCCTGCGGGTGCGAGCCCTACTGGGTGGGGGTGTGCGGGCACTCAGGCACTGTGCGGGCGACATTCTGGGGGAAAAGCTGAGATAAGAAGTTATAAACGCGACAGGAGCAGGGGGATGCGGGCTCTGACCAATGGAAGGTCAAAAAGCCACCAATAAAACAGCGCGGAGAGCAGCCCCTGATGGGGCAGCTGCGGGAGTAGCACAGCCCATAGCGCTGCTTTTTGAAACGTTTAAATAAAGATGCACTCTCGCTGCCGCACCGTCATTCCCATTAAGTACAGTAAATACGGTAGGCGGACGGCAGCCTCGAGTTCCGGTCACTACGGTACATCCCTCCCGCCCCGCCCCTCGGGGCTCGCAGCGCTGCTGCGGATTGTAGCGCCCCCTGTCGGCGCAGCGTGCGGTGTCCACAGGAATGAGGTCCGGCGGCGCGCGGGACCGGAGCGGGGAGTTCCGGGAGCGGCAGCTGCGGGGAAGGGTTTGAGCATCGGACGCGGGGGGGGGCTGGCGTTGCTGCTTCCGGGTAGGCGCCAGGTGAGTGGAGCTGCGCGCAGAGCGGGGGAGGATCGTCGTGTGTGTTCGTTTTTTGACTGCAAAGCAGGGCCGTGTCTCTGTTCGTGCAGTAGGAAGCTGGCACACAGTGGCTTGCAGGGTTCAGCTGCGCCAGTGACACAGTCTGAACTTTGATGTTATGGGAAGAACTGATTGGTTTGGTTGTTTGTTTTTTTTTCCTTCTAAAAGAGAACCAAGTTGGAGTGATTGTGTGCTGCTCCATATGGCTCCTAGAGCACGAGTTCCAGTTCTAGCAGCCCTTCAGCGGGGTTTGAAAATCCTGGAGGCCATAGCAGTGTTCTGTTTCTGGAAAACGAGGCCTGCAGCAGATCTGCTGAGCTCGGTGTGCGCAGGAACACCCCAGAGAAGAACTTTCAGTCCCTTTGTGTAAAGCCGTGCCTATGGCAGAGTTGTTTGGCAGTTGAACGTTTGTGGTCTTTCTACCAAAAGTATAATGAGCTCTGGTAACTGAAAGTCAAAGCTATGCGGATTCTTTAAAATATGACACAATTTGCTAGCAGTGGTGGATGTTAATTACAGGAGTCGTTTCCAAGAGAGGTTAAAGGTTGCCATTTGCTGGGGCTTTTTGGCTGGAGTCAGATAATGCCGTGGAAGGAAGGCTTCAGTGTGGGAGCTCAGGATGCCCAGGTGGCTGGGGGGAAATCTGCGAGTCAGCTGCTGTGACTGCGCTTACACTGCTTGTTCTTCCCCTTCAGAAGAGGAAGAAGCTGCAGAAATAGCAGGATTTTGTGTGTTTCTGAAAGTTTTCATTGTAAATTAAGGTCGCTTTAACGTGTCATGCTTTTGTATGGACCTCCACTTTAAGGAGGAAGCATGATTTTCTTCCAGGGGAAGTTTAGCTTAAGTTAGTGGATTTCTTCCTCCACTGTTCTCAGTCATCAGAATTGAGTCACAGAGAGCAGAGTCAGAGCTGGGCAGCTGGGGAGCTGTGTGAGTTCAGAGCATCCCTCGTTCAGTATATGCTCCACATGGAGGTGACACAGCCTGCAGTCTGCCCCATGCTGGGAGGGATTTCCAGCCAAGTCAAGTCTGAAAGGCATGAGACGGGCTTTTCACCTCCAGATGAGCAGTTTTCATGCTGGGACTTCCTGCTGACACACTTTTTATCTCATTAGGTTCTTCTGAAGGGCTTTTGGATCCGTTTGTGCCCATTTATTGTTTTGATAGGATAAAAGTGCTTCCAAGGTTATAAAAATATACTGAGTGATGGACTCAACTAGAGGATCTGTTGACTCACTCTGAAATTATGAAGTTTTGTTTAAAAAAGTAAAAAGCTTCCCGTGCTTCCATGAATACTGGAAGTCTCTTAGGCAGCATCGGGTGTTTTGGTGTTCCCTGTGGTTTTCTATGGAAACAGGCTCATGGCTGTGACAGCTTTTTGGCACAAGTGTCACTAATAGCCGTAACTTTGGTTTCCATGTTTTTTTCTCACTGTTTATTGCAAACAATAGAGCAGGAATAATCAGAAATTTTAGCATGGGGAGCAGAACCAGCAAAACACGTACCCCGCAATGTAAATTAATTTGCCAAGAAACTTTGATTTGGAATTTTTTAGGCAGTAATGCTGTCTATTTCAAGTAAGCATAATGCTCACGTGCACGAAGTTTTGTTGCTTACAGCGTAGCAGTTACAGCAAACTTTTCTCAGCTTTGTTGGGAGAGCTGAAGAAGCTGCTCTTGTGAAACTGCAGTGAAACTGCATCAGAACAGACATTGCTGCTCGCAGAGGTTTGGGAGGACTAAACTGCAGCATTTGAACTGGTTCCTTTTCCACTGGCATAAAATAGTGTGAGCTGGCAAAGCTTGAGACAAATGTAACTTCTGTGTGCTCCAAAGGCAGCTTGGAGAGAGGGAAAGGGAGGAGTGGGTGTTCTCTGTGCGTAGGCTCAGCACTGTGAGCTCTTGGCTCCGTTACGTTGCGGCTGGGAGCTCAGTGCAGAGGCAGGTAGGTCGGCTCACAGCTGCACCAGGAGCACGCCTGCGCGTTTTTGCCCTTTGGCAGCCAGCAAAATTGCTCCTGAAGTAAAATAATGTTCTCCAGAGTTGCGCTGAGTCCTTGTTGGTGTGTGATGAGTCCTGGGAGGAGTGGGGTGAGGGGACGCAGGTCACCTTGTGCTAACTGAGAAGCAGTGAGTGCTTTTCCCCTGAACTAAGTTCTGTTTTGATGCAAAGGTAATTACTGAGCTGAGCAGAACACCTATGACTTCAACATAATTTTTTTTTAATCTCTCTGGGAATCCTTGGTGCTATGCAGGCAAATAGCAGCAGCCCACTCAAGCAGCTCCGTGCTGTAATGGTGTGTGTTGGAGCAAGGGATGGCCATAAAGGAACTGAGAGGCGTGTGAGAGGAGTGGAATTACATGAACAGAAATGAGTTATGCTGAATGCTGAACATCCTTCCATTTCCCATTCTCATCTTTTAATTGAATTAATGTCTAGTAAATTAATACAGTGTGGGAAGAACTGTAGTAGACGTGAGTGATAAAAGCCTGAAAAATTATTGTGAGAAACAATGAAAGAGGAGAGTGTGAACGCCTGGGATAAGGGAAGGCTGAAGAGGCACTGCAGTTAGATTTGTATCAGAAGAGGAGGCTGGAAAGCTCCTTTCCCAGGGGATGAAAGTCTTGTTTCTTCTGTGAATACACAATGCAGGTTTAGTGTTGCAACATCAGCAAATGGCATTAAGTTGGGCCTGCAAGACGGGAGTGCTGTCGAACTGCTTGGGACTGGGAGCAGTGTGCGCCCTCCCAGCTGTGTGAATTCCTTGCTAGGTGAATTGGGGCAAAGAATGCTTTATGGTCTGCAGATAATGATCAAACATAATTAATTTCCTCTCTTTGGCAGCCACTCACTTGAGATGACACTTTGGGTGCTTGGTGTTGGCTCCAAGCAGCAGTAGACCTGTTGGAGAGTTACAACAATTGCTGTTTTCAAACAAATTTCTATATAAGAAAGAATGATGTTTTTTAGAATAACCCTCTGCAGTGTGTTCTGCAATGCACAGATAGACCGAAGAAGTTAAAGAAAGATCAAATATCTTGGAATCTGATCATACCAGCAACAGCTAAAAGTCCTTCAGCTCCTGCCCAGTCCCACGTGAAACATGGGCTCCTGTTCCTCCTCTGAGCAGTACGTTCCGCTGGCGCTCTCTGTGTGTTACCTGCACTTCCAGCTGCAACACTGCAGATCCAGAAGGAGAAAGGAATTGCTAATAAACAGAATGCAGACATAGATAATGGAAGAACAGAGTAAAAGAAAGTTGGTTCTTATTTACGTTATGTAAACATTTAAACAGCAACAGCGCCTGAAACAGTTTTGAAACCAAGACATGGTTAAACTGGAGCTGCTGTGCCTACCTGCTGTTGCTAGTGATGGTAGCTACCAAGAAAATAAAAGCAGTGGAGTCAATGCATTGTTTTCTTGTGGTATGGAAACCAGGTTCTCCACTGCATGCCCAGGTCTGAAAGCATGGCTGTGTTCTTAGAATTATGTTTGTACCACTACCTGTGGGATCTGCTCCTGTGCAGCTTGTGAAGCGCATCTGCTGAGCAGAGCTGCACGTTAATTCTGCTTCTGTTGCACCCAGAGCAGGAGAGGCTGCAGCTCTGCATGGACTGCACACATTGCAACGTGTTCCTTCTCTCTTGGTCGCCCCTCCAGCTGTACCAAGGTTATCATCTGACTTTGTGTTAAGCGCAAGTGTATGGCTGCTGTCATTTCAGAGACTTCTTTTCTGGTTCAAATATTGCTGTTCCTATGTTATAGTCAGCTAGGACTGTGCAGAGGGATTTATTCTTGGCTGACGTTGCTCTTACCTTCAGAAGCAGAACATTTTACAGTACTGGGGCTTCCCCTATAGGTCTGCTCGCAGCCATGTGGCTCAGGTACCAATGCTCATGTTCTGCAATGAATTGCCACGGCTCAGAGCAGCAGTTACAGCTCAGGCTGCAAAGTACTGTAACTCTCAGTCTGTGTTATTTTTTTGTGCTCACGTTTCCCATTCTGCACCAAAACTTTCCGCTGTGTGGTTCTAAAGGTACTGCGGCCACTGCTGATTTCATGCAGACTCACTGAGCCTTGTTTGGATTACATGTTAGTGGAAGAAAAATCCCTTTTTCAAAACATGCAGGACACTGCCTGCCCACTGCTGATCTTTTTAATGTCAAACTCTGCCTGAACCTTCTCGAGGAATAAGCTGTTATGTCAGAAAAAGAGTTGCCTGGAACATAACAGTGCTGTGAGGAATGTGTGAAGATGTGGGAGGAGGACCTTTGCACTGCTTGGGAAGTGCTTGCTGCATTACACTGCTTCACGTGGGTTTTTTTACATTGAACAACTGCTTGTAAGTTTTTGGGAAATATTCCTTGGGGACTGAAGTCTCCCACTGTTAGAAACTAAAGGGAAATTGGTTTGGTTTTTTGAGATAGAGAATGCCATCTTGCTTTACAAAGCAAAGCTGTGTGTAAGCACCAGACTGTGTCAGGCTGGTTTTTAGTAGCCATGTTTGAATGCTTTATAGTTTGGGTTTTGTGTTTTTGGTTTTGTTTTGGAATTGATTGTTGCCCGTAGGTCATTCAGATGAATGGGAGTGGAGTTCTGGTGGTGTTCTGTTGTTAAAGTCTGCCTGGAGGAGGACAGTGGTGCCATGAAGGTTGTGTAACATCTGCGTGGAGTTCTTACTGTCCTTGTGACTCTCAGACACGTGATCATAACCTTACAGCAAAGGTGTTTGGCAAGAAGCAAAAAGATTGGCAAGTATGTAAGGCCGTGTTTGAAGAAACACTGTGTAACTAGTGATAGAAGGAGAGGGAATGGCCTCAAGTTGTGTCACCAGAGGTTCAGGTTGGACGTTAGGAAACATTTATTCTGCTAAACAATGGTCAGGCACTGGAATGGCACCCAGGGAGGTGGTGGAGTCACCGTCCCTGGAGGTGTTCAAGGAACAAGCAGATGTTGTACTGATGGACGTGGTTTAGTGGGGAAATACACCTGGCAGGAGGACGGCTGGGCTGTGAGCTCGAAGGTCTTTTCCAGCCTTGGTGACTCTGTGATTCTAAGAAAATGCTTCACGTGTGCTTGAATCGCTGTCCCCCAAGGTGACACTTCACTGTGTCCTGTCAGTGAGCGTGCAGAAAGCTGTGTGTGCCAACCATAGGCTTTGGTTCATTGCAGGTCTGTGAGCCTTGGGTCCCCCAGCCATCTGTCGGAGCTAGCAGGGTCACCATCCTCCTCTGGGTGAGTTTGATTTTATTCATTTGTTTGCAGGATGTTTTCCAAAGCATGTGTGCTTATGTAGGAACTGGACAGTAAACCAAGTTCCACTCATACAAACTTTTAGGGAGTTGTTTCATCTCTGTATTTACATAACTGCTCTTAAAATGAAGACATCCCTTCAGAAAAGCAGTACTTCTTGATACTGCAGTGTCTTAGGGAGTGGGATTATGAGGATTCAATTTTGTGTTGTGAACTTCATGACATTGCTATTTTTGTAGAGGTTAGCTTGACTGAACCCCGTGTTGAAAAGCTCCCCAGCAGTTCCTTACGGATAAAGCAGATCCTGTAGAACTCAGTTTATCTTTAAGTTGTACATGGTCAGGTGCCCTGGTATCACATCTCATCCGGATTCCTTTCTCAGAAAGTGAGAATTCTGAATTTTTCCATTTTTCTCTTTTGTCCTGTTTCCTACTTACATGTTTACCAATGGAGGCTTGAATAATAGAAGGGAATATAAAACGTCTGTGCAGGAACAGTCAGCAGTCAGTGTGTTTGTCCCTTTTGTTCAATGGAAAACAAAGCTTAGAGTTTAATGAGAAATTTCTGGAAAGTCTCATTTGGGATTTTTCTGGTCTCCTGTGCGTGTTGTGAAACGCGGCTGCAGCTTCGTTAGAGGGCACTCTTGAATAGCACACGGTGAGGCTGCTGTCGGACAGCATTCAGCACATCCTCTGCTGGGAAAAAGGAGTCCTGGGGGAGATGTAACGTGCTGCTCCGGAGCACAGAGCTTGAAGCCTGGGATGGATTGCCCCATGCACTTCCCTATCTTATGCAAGGCAAGGTTGACTGTATTGTGGGCTAACTTAAAGCTAGCACTGTACTTGGAAGCAATCTATTAGATAATTCACTATAGTTTTCCAACAGTGGATTCATTTATTTAAATAATACCCCATAAACTGCCTCGATCTTAAATGTATGTTCTTATGTGAACTTTTTTGTATTCTGCTATTGTCTTCAAAAAACAAAAAAATCCTTTAGAAGCAATAAGAAACTCTTCAGAATCTCTTGGATTTTGATCCCAACCCTTACGTGAGTTCCTTCTGTGCCTTTGACAAATTGCTTATTGTCTTCTTTCACTTTCCTTCTCTAATAAAGAGGATAATAGTTTTTACCTTGGGAGGATTACTCAACGTATATAAATGTGCCCTGAAATCTCAAGTGCTGTAGACTTTTAAAAATATAATTAAGATGTTGAACAAAGCAGGAGTCAGGAAAGTTGAACTTAAAACAGTGATTGCTAAACTGCTTTGGGGCTTCTTCTGCTCTGGCAAGATTACAGAGCCAGATCATTTGCATTAGTTTTGACTTTTCTTGATGCTTTTAGTTTTTGTGCAGGAAGAAGCATTCTTTGTATGTGGGAGTCAGATTGTACGTAAACATAAACACAATCTTTGCTTTGCTCAAAACATACCTTGTTTTGCTTTTATAAAAGCATACCAAACTGGTGTAACTCAAAACATTCTTCTGAGCAATCAGCTCTGAATCAGCCCTGCACTGATGAGGCTTGGCTAACTGAAGCGCACTTTTCCTATGCAGGAATGACGCCTGCAGTGCAGAAACCTCAGCAGCTTTTATATATTGCTTTACTTATCCTTCAAATTCCCTCTTCTGTTTTAGCATCAGTGCTACCAGCTGGGTTCTGTGTAAGCGCTTGCAGGTGGTGCTTGTGTGCCTCTGAAGGGGCACCGCACGGCGTGCCGCGTGCTGAAGGTCGTGGAGCAGGTAGTGCCTGCTGTGGGCAGGGACAGTTCTCTGGCTGGCTGCCCATCTCCTTACTGCGACATCTTCCTCCCAGCTGGGAACTGTGGCTCTATCTGGCCAGGAGCTTTACATCCCAGAGTGCCAGCTGTGCTTTATAGATGGGAAAGACAACCTCAGAGCTTATCAAAACTAGAAGACTGTACTTTGCTTGGCATCCTGAATAACCGTGTACTTCTTCCATGAACTCTAATGTCATGAGGGCTCAATTCTCCAAAATAAAAATTAAAGGAGAATAATAATAATAAAAAGCAGGCCTTCTTCTTAGGCTGTCTTTCTTCTCCTAGTCTTTATCTCTTTTTGCTTTTTCCTTTTCTGTCCCACTGGTGTGGCTCCTTGTTGGCAAAGAGCAATTTAAGGAAGGAGGGAAGACTGAGATGTTCTAGATGTATGAATCTAGTGCTTTGGAGTCTGTCCCAGCCAGATGGTCAGTGAGGAGGCAGCAGGGGCCGAGCTGAGACGTGGGCTGTATGCATGGCTGCAGATGGGAAGGAGATAGGAAGAAGAGAGAGATTTCTGCCTCCATAGCAAATGGAACTTAAGATGAAATAGAATAAATCAGGACTTTCCTGGCAGAATACAAAAGTTAGGGATCCTGAAGTATTTTCATCTGTGGGGCTGGGGGCTGTATTTATAATGGCTTTGAAGAAGCCCATTTCTTGTGATTCCTGTAAGCAATATTAGGCAGGATGTTTTGAAAGAAGAGTTTCAGCCAAAATCTTCGCCTTCTCAGTGTCACTGCTCTGTGCCATATGCAGATGCCCTCTCATGTTTTATTGCACATACAGTATAGGAATTCTAAAAAATAATACTAATCTTGTAGCTGATGACATTACAGAATGTGCTGAAGAAGAGCTGCAGCGTTCTGGAACAAAACGCTTTTCCCTAGTGTTGAGTAGCATCTCCTACGAATACTTCCTCACAGAACATTCCCATCAAACTGACAAATTATCTTTATACTGATTTATGTTTGGGTCTTTGTCATTCTTTAGAGACTGGCTGGTGTTGTGTGGTGACATTTGCATGGGTTAGCCACTGCCATCTTTGTGGCGTGAGGCATCCAGTCATTAGTAGATGCTGGTGTCATCTCTGTCCTAGCTGTCGGTTCCAGGTACCATCTGATTTCAGTTAAAGAGATGGCTGCAGTTCGTGGTCCCATCTACAGTTACAACCAGTGTCACACTTAAAATGTTCGGCCAAATCCTCCTTGTTGTCAGTGTGCCTCAGCATCAGCTTGTCGTTTGGGATCCGGAGACCGAACGCGTGTTTCCGGCGGTGTTTGGAGGATGGTGCCTGCAGCTTCTCGAGCACCTCGCTCAGGTTAGTGCCCATCTAAGGAGTGAGGTTCTGATACAGCAAGTAATTGTGCAGGTCTCAGAAGGTGCTGCAGGAGAAATTGCTGTCTGACACCGGTAGGCAGCAACAACCAACGAGTTCCTTGCTTGAATATGAGTGAATGTTAGCCTCTGCTAATAGAATTGAAGAAAAGAAGTAAAACATTCACTTGTTAAAACACAGGAGAAGAGCATAGTGGGGAGAAAGCATAAATTCAGGCCACTCCTCTGTTTAATGTAGTAAAGTAAATGAAGCAACCAATTTTTTTTCTTTTCCAGTAGGAGCAGTGCAGCTGAGAGCCCAGAGGTGCCGGCTGGCTGACCTGTTGTGGCTCTAAGTGCCAAAAAGTAAATATTTTTAAGCAAAACAAATGAGAAACTTTGGGGATATACTTAAAAAAAAAAAAAAAAAGGCCAAAAAAAGAACAAAACCAAATAAGCTGTTTTGTGTGCAGTGTCCAGAGTGATTTAAAAATGCTCTTGCTCCATGTCTAAGTAAATGGTTGTTTCAGCCAAATAAATCTTTCCTATTGATTTATTGCCCCAATTTAGATATAAGCCCTCTGTGCACGATTGTCAGTTCAACAGAACAGCTTTCTTTCTCCTTTCAGATTTAATCCACATGTTGTTGTATCAACAGAGCCTTTGTCTCTGCTTAGTTATGAGTTAGCCTTTTTTATTAAAAAAAAAAAAGTGAAAACACATGGTTTTTAATAGCACTGTTACATCTATTACAAAAGAGCATAAGATGACATATGGGAGAGGTGACCATCAAATGGTGGCAGTGATGTGTAGGTAACTTCAAAGTGTTGTTGCAAATGAAAGAGTGAGAATCAAACCTTTCACCTCTCCCCGTAGAAAGCCCAACAGTGACAGGAGGAGGCAGCATTATCTGTACCCAGGATTTCCTAGTTTTTTTCCCAGCTTGTGCAGTGATGCTAAACATACTCTCTTTAGTTAACTCCAATTTCCTCCCTTTTTGTAAAGGGGGACTTACCCAGAGGTGTGTGTAATTCGGATTTCCTTCCTTCCTGATGCCCTCCCTGCAGAGAAGAATTTCTTTCTTGGACCCCTCCTGTTTTTCAGGTAGGGGAGAATTACTCTCAGGAAACTCATGAGTTTGGTATGACTTCTATACTGGGTTTCATGAGAAAACATTTATTGGAGCACCAAAGCTCACCTGGTACCTGCATGTGAGTTCAGAAGTGAATGCTGGAGCTGTTTGATAAAGCACTTCTCTACATCTACATTTGCTTGGACCTTATCATGCAGTTAACATCATGCAGCATCATGAATTGCTTCTGAAGATTTACTTCAGTCCATCCTGGCAGCTCGGTGGGCTGAATGCAGCCAAAGGCAGAACAGTTGCAACTTCTGTCTCTCTGGTGCTGGCCTCGTTCCTTCCAGCTTGGCTGGGTTCCTGGCAGTCTTCACCATCTCCCTGAATTCTCTTTCAGATGTCAGCACAGCAAATCCCACCTCAGTGTCTGTATAATTATTTGCTGTGATGTGATGTGAAAAGAAGCTAGTAGTAACGACTACAATGGGAAGCAATTTCTCTGGCATCTGAGAAATGTGACACGGTCCTATTCTACATCTAAAAGCTAAAGAAGCTGACCAACTGTTCTTAACAGCAGCTAGTCATTATTACTTCTCTCTAAACAACTCAGAACTTGAATCTTTCCAGAGCAGTAGTAAATGAAAGGGGTATTCAGCTAGCAGGAACAATTTCTTTATATGTGGATTTTGCATGGCACTGTACTGTGTTGTGCTTTCATCTAGAATATCCTTGGGTAACCTCATCCATCTTTGAAGTTGGCCTTCTTTGAGCAGAGGATTGGCCTGGAAGCCTCTAGAGGTCCCTCTCTG